GCGACGTTTAAAAACATGGCTTCGGTTAGGGCAATGAACCAAATGAGCTTTTAAAGCTAACGGTAACTGCTCGATTTTTTCTTTCCATGTTGGTTTATCATTATTACCTAGCTTATTATGTTTTCTAAAAATATTAACATTAACACACTCAATTTAGTCCATTGCGATTCTTTTTGACCCCGTTTTTTTTGTTTGTTTTTGTTTTACAACTACAGTTGTCGCCATCCGGCTTGAGGAGCGCTGTGTATGCGCAATTACCGGAAGTGGCCTTGAGTGGGACCACTGGTTATGATTCCACTGTGGTCGAGACGCTGCGTCGTTCAACTCCGCAACACAAGGAGAGTGAGGGGCGGGGCGTACTTCTCTTCCGCGGGGGGCCAAAAGGGCGGGAGTTTCAAATGTGGAGAGGTTCTGACTATACTAAATTGCGTCCTGTGGCGTAAATATTGATAAAAAAAATCATTTTTTTCGCGGAACATTTGTTTTGTGACATGCTTGTCCCAATTAGGCTGTTAAAAAAAAAACTTTTTTTCTTTGCAGTTACCCTTTAAAGGGACACTGCAAGGAAAAAATTGACCGCATCTCCACGTGGTGAATGATGCTGATTGGGGCGAAACTCTGGTGGTGCTTGTCTGCATAGACGCTGAGCCGCGCCTTTCATTCGTTTTCATTCATGTCAAAAAGAGAATGTGTGGTATGGAACGTGGTTATATATGCATTTGACCGCAGGGCCCTCTCCTTTATTGACGTTGAGCGGCTACATGCAACATTTCATCCGTGACATCCCCAGCTCTTGAGTTACTACCACATCTCAGAGCCCCCTACCCGTCCCGCAGTCGTGGCCGAGTGGTTAAGGTGATGGACAAGAAATCCATTGGGGTCTCTTCGCACAGGTTCGAATCCTGTCGACTGCACAAACATTTTTCTTTTTTTGCTTTTTTCTTTTTTTTTTTGGTTTTACACAAGCACGTGAGCTCACGAGCAAGAGCACCAGCAAGATGGATGTGATCACGGACGCCGGACAGACAAGGCTAGACCCTAAGGAGCTTCGCCCCTAAAAAAAGTTCTTACAGTGAAGCTGTTATACGCTAAGGTCTGGGAAAAAAATGCGTCCTCACGTGTCGACAGAAAACTCCCTATTGGTCGTGGAAAGTTAATAAATAAAAATGGGGCAACCAGTGTGAGTCAGCTTCCCTTGGCTTTGTTTGATAGTGAGATCCCCTGATCCCTTGTTGTCATCTCTAGGCATGGTTCTTGAGGTCGTCCTAGAAGTCATTTTAGTGGCCGTCCTAGGCGTCGTCCTCAAGGTCGTCATAGAAGTCGTGCTCGAGATCGTCATTGAAGTCGTCGGAGAGGTCGTCCTCTAGGTGTCATCCTCGAAATTGTCCTAGAAGTCGTCTTTGGGGTAGTCCTAGACGTCATCCTCGAGGTCATCCTAGCAGTCGTCCTCGAGGTCGTCCTAGAAGTTGTCTTTCAGGTTGTCCTAGACGTCGTCCTTGAGGTCGTCCTTGTGGTCCTTGACGTCGTCCTCTAGGCGGCGTCCTTGAGGTTGTCCTAGAAGTTGTCCTTGAGGTCATCCTTGACGTCGTCCTCAAGGCATCGTCCTAGACGTCGTGAAGATAACAGCTTTGCTGGTCCTTCATCTTCACATGAAGAGGAGGGGCTCTACAATATTTTTTTCGCATGTCATCCACGAGCAAGGTGGGTAAGCGTCATGAGACACAATTAAAATGCAACGTAAAAATATTTGCTTCGGTGGGCCAGGTGCACGACACAACTTGAAAGCTTGCCTCTCGAGGCGCAATGAGGAGAACACACCTAGACAAGCTTTATTCGAGCCAAATGTCCGATTGCCTCCAACCGAATGGCTCGCAAATTCTTACCTGTGTAGGTATCTTCTCGGTATTGAAACCATGGTTGCAATCACGACGGTTGCACAATTCACAGAGCAGCGGGGCTACTTTTAGAGGAACCAACATCTTTATTGAGCATCAACGCTCGCAAAGAAGGAAATCAAGCCAGATCAATCAAAATAGTGAATGTGAAACTCTAGGCTCAGGCCAGTCCCGCTACAAAAACGAGCATCTGCACAGCGCTTCCGAAGGCGCATACTTGCGGCAGTTGTTCGCTGCAAACTATGTCGGTTGATGAGGTCTTTCTCTAAACACCTCTATAAATTCAAAATCACTCGCACTCATAAAAATTCACGAGCTCAACAAGCTTCGCTCGTTCAGCTGTCCGCAGACGCCGGCAGCCATGTGTGTTAATGTTTCAAACCAAAGCGAGAAAAGCAATCTCGGAATACATTTTAAAACAATAACAAGTCTTTCTGGATTATTTGCTTCTCCAACATAAAAAATACTTGATTAAAATGCTGTTACGGCCACGGAGATACAACTTTACAACCAACCTTTCACACGTCAATCATCTCTCGAGCCAATGAGAGATGTAAGCACCTTGTAAGCACGGTGCAGGGCTTGGTGGGCACTTATATTGCTTCTAACAGTGTAAATATTGCTCTAAAAAATAATTATTTTAAGATATGTGTCTCATCTATGCCCTTTAAAAAAAAAAAAGAATTCTTTTTCTATGCAATGTTCTTTTTACGGGGAGACCCTGGTTTTTAACATTTTTTTGTCATTTCTCATCTAATTTCTATTAAGTTCTCACATCTTTAATAATTTTTGGGTAATAAGCAAAAAACATCTGTTATAGTTTTCCGGAAAATCTCATCTTTGTCCCAAATGTTTCTGCCCAACTTTTATATATCACCGCCGTAAAAAGAAATCTCACAAAATATGTCTGCATGTTTTACGAACAGTGGAGAGTGCAACAAAACCATTCTTATCATTTTAACATCATATCAGAAAAAATTATCACAATTTGAAATTTTTCTTCTTAAGAAATCAGTCTTTGCCAATTAGTAGTTAACGTTTTCCAGAAATATTAGTCTCGTTGCGCTCTTTGATTTGTGAGGTATCATACCCTGAAAAAACTGTTTGGATCCAAATTTTACATCAAACAATACCTAAAAAAAAAAAAATTGTTTTGTGACAAAAAAAAAAAAAAAAGAATTTCGAGGAAATAGGAGAAGCTTTTTAAAGGGATTGTCCGGTCGAAACCGGAAGTAGTTAAGTTTTGCGCTCGTTACGTCGAGGGAGCGATCATATAGACAAAAGTCTTTTTTTTTTTGATATATGATCTCCCCTTATTAATTAAGCCTTTCCTGAGTTTATGTACGAAACTGCACCCCAAATTTCACCAGTGTCAATGGCTGTCATCCGTAGCTGCTGCGTGACGTCACAAAGCCCAAAAGGTTGTCGGATGGTCGGGATAACAGGTGTTGGTGGACGGATGTCTTGTATATTGTTTCGAATTATATAGTCTCCTAGGCTGTACCCTACTGAAATACATATGTTTCTTTCAATGCACTTCCTAAGCGTATACAAAAAAACGTCACCTTTTAGCAGGATATTACTCGAAAACAGCCATGAGCTTCGAGCAAACATATGCCGTTTTGCGCAAACACAACTCCTACGGCCAGCGATCAGAGTGGGAGCTCTTGCAATGCAAAGGATGTAGATTTTGCCTCTGAAGCAGCACCTAGGTACACGAAGTGGCATTTGAGTACAGATATCGGCGTATCCATTGGATCGGTGATGAGGCTGCGGGCTGTTCTCTCGGAGGCGATGTCCGCGGGTCAAAGGCAAACGGCGAATCATTCAAATGCATGTCGTTACTTGACTCGGACGAGCCTTGCGAATCGTAGCCACGCTCCATTTTTACATGCAGTTCAAATGGAATCTGGCTACACGCGTGCTAAATACAACTTCTGGCATTGTTTCCAGATGGCCTAGCTATTTGTTTCAGTTTCGCTGCATAATCAAACCGATTGATCCGATTTGGGCGAGGAGTGGATGGACGTAGTTGAATATTGTTGGCACAGCATCACACCTCAGCTTACGAGCCTTCTGTCCGCTTAGAGCTCAGCGCGTGGCTCTCTTTTGTGAGATGATTACTGCATAAGCAGGATCTCGATCTTGACAGGAGACCAGTCCCTACGCACGGTTACGATCCATTTTGCTCGTCACTGCACGTCTCGCGAAAAAGTGTGGAACATCACGTCTTGACTCTCATGTGCTGCCCGGTGGTTGTTGTAAAACTTGTTTGTTTTACAAAAAAGACTCTCGAAATAATGTTTTACTATTGCGAATTTTGTCACTTACGTATGTGCACTGAACACTGGTGATCGACATTTTTCATATCCTCGCACAGTGCAAACGCTTGTACCGTGAAAGCACATTTAGAAATTGTGATGTTCCTAGCTCAGAAGTAAATAAAGTAGTTAAAAAAAACTTTCAGCCTTTCCACTTTGATGAGGAAGACAATCGAAGCTGTGTGCTCGTCCCGTGTGTTTCTTCTTCGTCCTCGTCTGTTTTGTGCGCTGTTTCCTAAGATGAATACCCACCAACTCGCCCAACTATCTATTCTTCTATAATAGCTGGAAAGGTTGCCGCCATCTATGAGCAATGGCGGGAACCAGACTGGTTGTCTGGTTGCTGCCGTCGCTCGTAGATGGCGGTAGCTGTCCAGAGTTTTGTGTCGACATTTGTTTGGTACCGGACACGAAATCGGGGAAACTAGCTTATAACAGCTCCACTGTAAGAAGAGACAGAATAGAAAAAGCAAGCATGAGAGGTTTCATTTGTCCCATGTCCAGTGCAACCTTCCATAACGTTTTGGGGTCTCACGACACCTCATTCGGTGGTTCCCTTCACCTCGCTCATTTCGGCTCGGCAGGGGAACGCTGGACTGCCCTGCTCGAGACTCGGGTTACTGCCGAAGCCACTAGCAGTAGACGGTCGAGGCAGCAATCTCCATCCTCATAAATATAGCAAAACCCGCTCTCTTTTGTCCCTGTCCATACACAAACAATGCGTGTATCAAGAAGTCTTTAAACCTAACAGTGAGGGTTGTGTCAGAGAGTGGGTTTGTTGCAGCGGACTCATTCTTCAAGGCGGCCATCAGCCTGATGCCCGAGATGCCCCACACCATTGAGCTGGAGGGGAAGCAGAAAAGCTCGGAACCCTTCCTCCTCTCCTTCATCAACAACTTCCTCTCCACCCTGCTCTTTGTGCCCGTGAGTCCCTCCTGCAACGTTTTCCTAGAGAAACCTCCTGTCCCCAGATAGATCGGAACGTCACTACTGTCGGGGAAGATGCGCAACTATCGGGGAATTTCAGTCAACTCTTAATGCTTGGGAGATATCGGGGAATTGGGGCAAAATGTTGCCAGGGAGTTGGGGAAATGTTTGGCAATCTGTGGATTATATTGCCGCAATAAAGGGAATATTGGGGAAATCTTTTCCAGAGTTTAGGGAACTGTGGAAGAATCTGGGGATCATGTTTTCATTGTATGTGGAATTTGGGGAAACGTTTTGCCAGAATTGGAGAAACATTGAAGAAATCAGGAAATTTAGGAAACATGGGAGTTAGGAAAATTTCGGGGAATTGGGGGATTATGTTGCCACCGTGGAGGGAATGTCGGGGAATTTGGAGAAACATTGTGTCGGAGTTGGGAAATGTGAGAAATGATGTTGGTAACGTTGCTAGTGAATGCTTTTTGTTGAATCACGTTTAGACCCGAACAGAAGCAACATTTTAGTGGATCAGTAGATAGTAAACGTCTTTATTTTCGCAGGTGCAATATTTCGTAATTATTGCACCAGACGATCGTCTGCTAACAATATCTCGACTCACTCTGAGAGACGCAAAATGAGATCTTGCTCTATTATTATTAATATTCGAGGTTGATGGCGGTGCAGATTTAGAGAGCCTAGATTTAAGCAACGGACAAACTCAAACCGTGGAGGGCATTTGCAGTTTAATGGTGGACGCTCCCCCCATGCAGATTGACCGCAAGTGCTCACTCGTTGCATCGTCGCGTGGCAAGAACAAAAGCGAGCGGAGAGGCAGAGACGTTTGCAGACGATGGGCGCATTCTTCACCTCCTCCCAGCTCATATTGCAAATGCGGCGCGTAAGCCACGTGATCCTGGCAGGGCCATTGGAAACGCTCTGTAACCTAGGCACACTACGGAGAGTGGTTGTTGCATGGCGCCGTCTGACGGCCCTGGTGCTCCCAGGATCACCCGGAGCAGGAGCCCCTGTACCTGCTGCGGGGCCTGCTCAACGTGGTGCAGGACTACCTGTGGGACTCGCACAGTGACGCCCGGGCCGTGGCATTCCTCAACGTTCTAAACCTGCTCACAGCACTCAGCCAGGACAACTACCTCCACCACATCGACAAGGGTGAGCAGGATTGAGGGGCTTGACTATACTTGGCGTCAACTATTTTGTGCTACCCTACGAGGCTGACAAAGGACAGGGAGGATCTTTGATTGTCCCGCTTCCAGCGCAAGCTTCCTCCCTTCGACAACGCTCTGGCGTCTCGTGCGTCTCGAGCGCACAGACTAAGCCAATGGTGCAAGTGCTGCGTCATTTGTGCCAATATGAGTTATGAACAGAAATCTGCTACATTTTCGCCACACTTGATTGGTTTAGCTGATGGAAGAACACGTAGAGAAAGATGACGAATGCCGCGATGTTGCGCTTTTGACGCTGTTGATTGGTCCCATTGGTTCGTAGCGTCGACTGTGCTTTGACAGTTAAGGAAGTTTGCAGAGAGCAAGTCATCTGCTTCTTGCCCAAGAGTGGCGGTGACGTTAGAACGATGCCGAGCTCTGATTGGCTTGGATTGAGAGGCTAGTGGGTAGACCTCAATGCTTGATGCCTTGCGGTCTACCCACCATCTTTTTCAATCCGTCAGTAAGAGCTCGCCGTTCTGACATCATCGCAACCCCTGTGCAAGAAGCAGACGAACTTTCACTCCACATAGAAACTGTTCGTTAACCATGCTGGCCTCGTCATCATCTGAATTTCCAGACAGTGTCAGCGTTATCAGCTAAAAGTCCTGAACACTAGTTCCAAATTAGTGGGATGGTGGCTACTGTGATAACATAGAACTACAGTAATGTTGCGGGTCATCGACCATCCCCGAGTCATTGCCCACACCACTTTTAGGGCGAATATCGATTTCCAAGAAAACGCCAAGTGATTGCCCACCCCTACAGGTACCCCAACACAAACTCTGCGATCCGTGAAAATTCGTCCTCCCCCAATGATGCGGCCTTAGGACGTTACGGTTGGAGGACATCCGTGACAAAGTAAAACGAAGGAGGGAAAGACATTAAAAGTGCCAAAAACAACTGCGGGGAAAGACACTCCAGTTTGATTACGCATTTCCTCCCTGATATCCGCGACCCCCGAAGTCGGGGTACATTTGTGCAAAAAGAATATGATAACAGAATAAAACTTAGTGTTATAAAAAAATTTGATGAGACAAAAAAAAAAAAACGTTCAGCCTTTCCACTTTTGTGAAGAAGGAACACCAGTGGAGCTGTACTCTATACACTGCCGCAACGCGCACCGTGCCCGATTCCCACTTCTCATCCGACACGCCGCCGATCGTGGATACGTCTTAGGCGAACCAGAGTCGGTCGCACACGGCACACGTGACGCCAAACGGGTTCTCCATGAACTCCCTCCGGAACCTCGCCGTCGCACCCGGGAACTGTTCAGCCGGCGTGGAGTGCAGTCGTCGCCGGGCCTCACACTTGCACTTAGCCTCAGTGGCACAATCGTCATCCGGGGCGTTGGCCCGCCGTCGCCTTTTACATCGCTGGTTTTGTTCTCGGTGGAGGCTTTTCCAGGCGAGTGATGTGCTCTTGGGCAAGGTAATCTGAAGTGCTGGACGCAGTGGAAGTCGAGGCGATAGCGGCTTTGCGGCGGTTGCGGACCCATTTGCGCTGCTGCATACGTTGCCGCTCCTTCCGCAGCCTGTCTCCTTTCCCCGAAATGGCGCTCGGCCGACCCATCATGAGTCCAAACCGAAACTGATAAGAGCGTAGGAGCGTAGGAAACAGCATGCAAAACAGACAAGGACGAAGAAACAAACATGACGAGCGCTGCGCTCGTTACGTGTGCTTCTTCTTCGTCTCGTCTGTTTTTCGCGTCAAGGTAATAATAAAAAAAATAAAATAAAAAAGACCAAAGTTTTGCTAATATTTTTTAAGAGACCCAGTTTGTCAGTGAACATGCAGTCCATGTTTCTCCGTTACGTGAACTTCTCAACTAAATTCCATCTTGAAAAGACCCTGCCGCCATTGGGACTCTGTCCGACGACTTTGTGCCGCCTTTTGTTCCTCTGAACCTTCCAAGGAATGTTTCTTCTCACCGTGGAAAAATAAAAAAAACGGTTGATCGATCGATGCCAAACCCAAGTACAGTAAAACCTCGTTATAACAAAGTTGAAGGAGCGGTCGTAATTATTTCGTTATAACCATTAGTTTGTTATAGCCAATGTCCATTTCTTCCCACTATTAGCAAGCAAGGGGAATTATGATTGCTTTGTTATATCCATTAGTTTGTTATATCCCGTTTTGTTATAACGAGGTTCTACTGTATTGTCTAATTCCAGTTGACTCGAATGACGCCTTGTACGGCGGCGACCCCAAGTTCACGGCCCAGATCAGCGAGCTGTGCGGGAGCGTCATGGACGAGGTGCTCAGCCACCTCAAGTACCTGGGCGATGCTGGTGTAAGTGGTGCTCCTTGTCCTGTCTCACTGCAGTCATCATCATCAGCAGCATCAGCAGCCCTGTGGCTTTCCAAAGGCTGGTTTACAGTTGCCACTTCTTACAACCGACCAACCTCTTAAAATGTCTTAAGACTAGAGAAGACATTGGTGCCATCTGTCGGGTAGCTATGGAACACTTGTCATTCCTTATATTTCCTATCCTTTTTTTTGTGTGCCCCATTCTTTCTTTTTTGGCTCTAAAACTGTTGAAGATGTCATAAACGACTATTTCTCGTAGATGGTAAGTACATTTGATCTCTCAAATACTGCAGAACCTTTGCTCTAGAGAAATGCAGTGCCAGGACCACATCATAGATGGCACCAGTGTGCCAGTGTGTTCTCTTCTCGTAAGGGATTGTAAAAACTTGGTCGTAAGCAAACGCGAGTGTGTACGGGCCTTAACACTGAAGATGTTGTATGGCTGTTTTCACAGAAATTCCTGTAACGCACATTTACGCAATGTGGAAGTATAAAAAAAGCACTTGGCTTTAAACTGTCTGTGAATTGGATGCCAAACCAACTTTGCCAAACCAACTGCGCCAACAATGTACGCGTGAGAAACAAGTCAGAAACGTAACAAGAAAGTTGGTGTGCTTGCAGATATGGTTGGAGATTGTCTAGGAGGCAAAGGGGGAAAGGGAGCAAGCGTCCGAGTAAATGCTTAAATATGCATTTACTCAAATAAAAATTATAGATTTATCGATTGAGGAATATCTTTCGTAGGCAATCGGGAGACACGAAATCGCAGGGTTGAAGCCGGAGTGTGCAACCGCACGAGACGTGAACTTCGCATTTCGCTCGGGTTAGAGCGCTAGCTTTGGCAGACCTTCCTTTTCAGGACACTACACGCAACTTTGTGCTGTCGAGGCACAAAATGCGTACAGTAACCCCTCGATTGTGAGTCTTCGGGTTATGCGACATCCTGCATTTTACGGCGGTTTGGCGCAGGCTTCGCGAACTCGTAGTAGAAACAATATACTAGACGGTCAGATTTTACAACGCATGGACGCGCGTATCTCGCTTCGTAAGACGATCCTGGTACATCGCATAACCGGGAAAAATGGACGACGCACAAAAATGAAACTGCACTGAGCTATTGAATGTATCCTCCTCCCCCTCCTTCCCCCAAGAGTCTGTTCTTGGTTCAGTCTGCTTCGCCTGTGGTGGTGTTGCTTTTACGGCAGTACCGTAACATCCCCAGAGATAGCTCACCTAGAATCGAAAGCCAATCGGGTACAAATAAGGAATGGCTTAACTTTCGGCGTGCAAATCGAATAGCAGTGTATTTGATTTGACCTTTTCATCTAACACTAGTATTATGATATTTTGTTTACGTAGTGTCTTACATTTATTTTCTGGAACAAGCTAATTAGCTCTGTTGAGGGCACTTTTCATGCAGCACGGTTAGGCCGCATTGTTGATGTGGCGGATGCTGCTTCCCCACAGTGCACAGAAAAACCGTGAGGTTTGTGGAGTGTATGAGGGCAAGATGACCCTTTGGAAGACGGCAACAAGGACAAAAACAGTCACTCGTGACTAAGGGCCTTGAAGCATTGGGTATTCAGATTTCGGATGTTTAGTTTTTCTGTCCTATTTTAATTAATTCTAGATTTATTTTAGATTCTAAAAATTCTAAATCTTAATTACTGTAAACAACTAAATTTTCGCAGGGACCTAATTTTCGCAAATTTCGCGAATCGCCTACAAATCAATTCGGGCAATATGTGAACGCTACGAAAGCTACATTCAATTTGCGAAAATTAGAACCCGCAAATAATTTCAAATTTTCAGCTTTGGCCCGATTCGCGGAAACTTGAGCCCACAAAAATTAAGTCGTTTACAGTAATTATTTAGGCATTCAGTGAAACCTCTTAAGGCTAGTTTGTGCACACTTGGGTTTGACCAAGACTGAGTGTATTGTGCTCCCCTTTAATCTGTTACGACGAGAAAGCACAGTGCCGCCATCTGTGGGGTAGCCGTGGAACACCTCCATTTCGTCTTATCTTTCGTAATTTTTTTGTGCATCATTCTTTTTATTATGGGCTTGAAAATTTTTTGACGTTGTTATAAGCAACCATTTCTCAGAGGTAGGATGTACACTACTGCAGAACCTTGAGTCTACCGTAATATTCCGAGAGAGGACCCACGTCCAAAAGATAACCCCCTACTTTTGGGCTAATTAAAACACTGAATGATAATCCACTTCTAGCCGTTAGAGTTAGTTAGTTAGAGTAGTTAGTTAGGCGAGTTGTTAGTTAGAGTTAGTTAGGCGAGAGGAAAGTGGACATTGCTGACTGGAGAGAACAGTCATGTATGCTTGATCGCCCCCCGAAGTATTAAGTTTGGGAGATCACAGAATACAACGATAGTATTTTTGCTTACTCCTCATTTCCGAATTTAGGTGTGCTATCTCTGGGGATATAAGGGTAGTATGCTCAGTTCCAGGGCTACAGCACAGTGCACTTGGTCATATTCAAAGGCAAGTGTGTCAACCAGCCTTTATGCTGTGGCGGTGGAGACATTGGAAGTTTGGCCGCTCCTTAGAGGTTGCGAAGGGCCACCAGATTTCGAGAAAACGCACAAGACTCTTACTTGTCAACCACTCTCTTCTATGCAAAATAACTCTTATCCCTTCACACAATTTACAATTTGGCATTTGTCGCACATTCCTGCCGAGAGCTAGCAGCCGCCTTGGTGACTCCGAGACAAAACGCCGGCCTATGGATCCTCAGGTAGCGGGTTCGAACCCCGGCCGCAGTGTGACGATGGCTCATTACAGAGAAGGCGCCTTGTAATCGATATTTTGGTCGCTCCTCAAAAGATCCCCAGGTGGTCTAAATTAATTGCTGGTCCTCCACTGGGGTGTGCCGATGCCCTTCGGCAAAAACTAGTAATTTAGTTTCCTTTTGCACGGTCTCCCTGCAGCAGTACCAAAGACAGGCAGCGCTTGCCATGGAGCTGCTGAACCGCATCCTGATTGGTGGCAGCCTCGAGAACAAATCCCTGCTTTCACTCTGCGTCAACCTGTGGAACCTGGCCCACAAGCACGGCACTCTGGACCACAAGGCATCGGTGAGTGGATCTCACGGGGCTTGTGTTGCGTGGTTCAGTATGTGGTGGTAACGAGAAAGGGTGCTTTTATGTTATCATACGTTATCAAGCATTGTCATTGTGACTTCACAATGAGGACCCTTGCTTACGCCTTCCTGACACAAAAAAATTAGCTTGTGACAAAATTTTAATGGTTTACGAGTCACAAACGGAACCTCGTACTGTAATTGTTCTTCATTGATCGTTCAGACGAAAGCCATTGTGACAGGCACCAGTTTGCCACTTAAAACGCAGGTTCCTCAAACTCCCAAGTTTCCTCGGCGATCCCTGCCTGTAAGCAAAGTGTCTTTCCAGTGTAGGCTCTATCTTAGCAGATCTGAGCCACCCCTTCGTGCATAACTTTCCTAGTATGTGCACTATTGTTTACAAGGTTTGTAGGCTTCTGTACTGTCTTCTTGCATTCATTCTGAGACTGGAAAGGGTTCCTTGGCCGCCATTCTAGACCGATGGGAGTTCTCATCATCAAAGAGTTTGGGAACCCCTGCCCTAAAGCAGTGGCGTATCCAGGAAGGAGGCTTATGGGGCTTCAGCCCCCCCCCCCCCCCCCCCTGCCCGAAATCCAGCCGACCCTATAATACACATATGCACTTTGACCCCCCTCCTTCCCCTCTCCACACCCCAATTCAGGACATTGCAGCTACCTCAGCCCCCCCCCCCCCACCCACTACCCCTGAAAAAAATTCCTGGCTATGCCAGTGCCCTAGAAGATGCGAAAGGTGCGACTAGTCCATATATAAAAATCTTTCGTTATTCATCCTGAGACCATGCACGAAGCAAAGATAGTGCTTCGCAATCGTTCCTGTGTCCCTCACATGTGTCTAGCATAGCAGTGGTTTTATGTGTCAAGGTGCCATGTCGCTTTTACAACATCTGGATCTGTGTCACTTGGGTCGCAGTAAGCAACCTTATGCATCACATTTCACCTAGTGATGTATGATGCACATTACCTCGATCAATAGCGGAGGCTAATGCGAAATTGGCTCAGAATCTCGAAGAAGTGAAGTGTGTCCCTGAGCAATTGACAAAGACAATGACATTTATTATCTTCTTCCGGTTACTGAGAAATGAAAAACCATTTTCGTACCTGCATTTTGTTCTTCGGCACACCTTTCTAGTCAATGCTGAGCAATGAAAGCTATTTCTACCTGTTTATATTTACCTCTCTGCAAGTCGATTTTGTCATGTGTCACGCTGTCATGTGCAGTTTTGCTTCATATGTTTTGTGTGATTTGCACGTAATTTTGTGAAAAATACTTTGCAACTAGAAAGTTCATTGAAACTACCGTTACGTTCACATGGCGTTATCTGCATGCCATATTTTCTTTAGTTTTGAAGACCAGGTGACATTTAGCCTCTATTTCAACATTCTTGAAACTCGTATGCTGCTCCCAACTTGCTCCAAGCTGCAGTTTTTTCTGCTCCCAGGATTACTCGAAAGCTGCTTTGCCCAGTTCCATCCCTAGTTTATTTTTATGGAAACTGGTGTCAACTGATACGGCCAGTGCAGCAATAGATAATGGTAATCCTCCTGCATCAGTTATTTTTCGCCGCAGAACCTGGCCAGGCAACAATCATGGCCAGACAAAGTCTTCTTAAAAAGAACTACCGTAATATCCCGAGTCATCGCCCACCCCCCTGCCGCGTGAAATTCATAAAAAAGTGGGGTTGGCCACGTCTCAATGGGTGAGCACAAAAATTTTTTAAAAAATCGGGAAAAGAAAATGCACATTCTTTGTGCGTATCTAGCACGGCAGCAAAAGAGATACATTAAACTCAAAACTCGAATTAGTTTTATTGTTTTATACAAAAAGAAGGAAGAGCAGGAGCTGTAGCTTCAGTTCTCGGCGGCGGCTTTCCAGGCGGCGGCCCCCAGAAAAATGTTTCCGCTAGGTTTAGCGGGGAATTTTTTCCGCTATATCTAGCGGGGAAATTTTTCCGCTAGATTTAGCGGGGAAATTTTTCCGCTAGATTTAGCGGGGAAATTTTACCGCTAGATTTAGCGGGGAATTTTTCCCACTAGATTTAGTGGGAAAATGTTTCCGCTACATTTAGCGGGAAATGTTTTCCGCTAGATTTAGCGGAGAAATTTTTCCGCTAGATTTAGCGGGGAAAATTTTCCGCTAGGTTTAGCGAAGAATTTTTCCCGCTAGATTTAGCGGGGAAATTTTTCCGCTAGATTTAGCTGGGAATTTTTTCCGCTAAATCTAGCGGGGAAATTTTTCCGCTAGATTTAGCGGGGAAGTTTTTCCGCTAGATTTAGCGGGAAATTTTTCAGCTAGATTTAGCGGGAAAAATTTTCCGCTAGATTTAGCGGGGAATTTTTCCGCTAAATCTAGCGGGGAAAATTTTCCGCTAGAATTAGCGGGGAAATTTTTCTGCTAGAATTAGCGGGGAATTTTTTTCCGCTAAATCTAGCGGGGAAATTTTTCCGCTAGATTTAGCGGGGAAATTTTTCCGCTAGATTTAGCGGGGAGATTTTTCCGCTAGATTTAGCGGGAAAATTTTTGCGCTAGATTTAGCGGAGAATTTTTTCCGCTAAATCTAGCGGGGAAAATTTCACGCTAGATTTAGCGGGGAAATTTTTCCGCTAGATTTAGCGGAGAAATTTTTCGGCTAGATTTAGCGGGGAATATTTTTCGCTATATTTAGTGGGGAAGTTTTTCCGCTAGATTTAGCGGGGAAATTTTTCCGCTAGATTTAGCGGAGAAATTTTTCTGCTAGATTTAGCGGGGAATATTTTTCGCTATATTTAGTGGGGAAGTTTTTCCGCTAGATTTAGCGGAGAAATTTTTCCGCTAGATTTAGCGGGGAAATTTACCCACAATGCACCGCGCGGTTACGCCGACGGCGATGCCGACGCCGCTCAAGCCGGAAACGGGCCCCTAAGAGCTGCGCTCTAAAAAAAAAACTGCTAATTTTTTTCAGGAACACCCTGTATATGTCAAGTAACTACTGAGATAAAAAGGTCTATACCCTTGCATAATTGCGGCTTATCCCCGTTGAGTGCACTTCTCACTGAGGACCTGTGCACTGCAGGGAAGCAATACTTACGGAGCCAGCGTGCTTTGTTGGTATTGCAGTGCACAGCAATAACATAACCAAGAATTTTTTTTTTTTTTTCTTGGGGAGGGGAGGCGGGAGGTTTAAGGTGGCTGAGACGTTTATGACCTGGGGTGTGGAGGGAAGGGTGGGTGCATCAAAATGTATCCATATATTATAGGGTCGGCTGGATTTCAGGGGGGTGCTGACGCCTTATGAGCTTCCCCGCTGGCTACGCCACTGGTGCACAAGTGCTCAATGAGTAGCGAACTCAATGTACTTGACCCGCTGCAATCAACACTTTGAAAAGTATGAATATCGCAGCTCACCTCGAGGCGAATATCGAATAGAATATTATTCGAAACTAATATTAAAAAATTTGAGTATTCGCACAATGCTATAAATCTTGAATTAGATAATGGTAAGCTCTGAAACTTTGGCATCTAATCTGGACCGCTTGAACGACATTTGGACAGGGACTCAGCATTCTGCAGTCCATAGTTTATTTCTGCAGTTATAATTAAAACAAGAACACCGACTTGACATAACAGAAAAAACAACTTCATTAGACGTTTCACCTCCCATGCGGGAGGCATCATCAGTAGTTACACAGCAAATGCAGGGTTCAACCTAAACTCAACGCTATTTATCACGAATGTCCGTGTAAGCTTCGTGGAGAGGACCGCGGTTTTTGTTGCACACGGATGTGTCCCTGCGAAGAAACCACAATTCTAGAAGCTTTCGGTGCCCCCATCTGTCCTTTCTCGCCAAGGTCGTCGCGGCCGGAAATTTGAAAGAATGCCCCATTGTCCACGCATGGTCCACCAGTTCAGTCTTCAGTCGCGTCGCGTGGGATGCGTACGTGACGTCACGCTTGTGTTCTTTGAGTCTGGTATCTCTCCTCTGTCCGGTTTCACCAATGTAGGACGCTGGGCAGTCACTGCAGGGGATCTTGTAGATAACGCCTCTTTGGACGTTCGCCGGGGTTGGGTCCTTTGGTTTGGAAACGGAATTTCCAATAGTTCTGTATGGCTTGAAAACAGTTCGGATGCCAAGGGGCCTCAAAGCGCGACTAAGAGGTTCGGAGACTCCTTTGACATGGGGGATGCACACTACATTCTTATCTCTTTCCCTTTCGCACGGTTCCACATTTTGTTTCATTTTGTTTTTGACCTCGTCAACAAAACGCCTCGGGTAGTGACGTTTCACCAAAGCTCTCTGTAAATGAGTCATCTCATTTGCGCCATGGAGTTCGTTAGATGACACGGTATTTGATCTCTGTACAAACGATCGCACTACTGATTTCTTGTGTTGCACTAAGTGATGGGACAAAAAATCCAAAAAATTATCTGTTTCACATGGTTTGCGGTACACCCCCGTTCCAATCCTGTGGTTCGGCTCGCCTGTCCTCATTACAGATACATCTAGGAAGGGCTATTTGCCCTGCTGTTCTGCCTCGCAAGAAAAGTGTATCGCGGGGTGAACACTGTTTAGCTCCCGGTGGAAATCATTAGCATGACTTTTATCTAAAATGACGAAAGTGTCATCCACATATCGGCGGTAAAATTTGACCGGGAACAGAACTTTTTTCAGCACTTTCTCCTCAATATGCTCCATAACGAGATTGGCAACACTGACGGATACCGGGCTCCCCATCGGACACCCGTTCACCTGATGATACGTCTCCCCACGGAAGGCGAAAAAACATTGGTTTAAGCAAAAACGCAAAAGTAAAATTATATCATGAATGTGAAGTGACGTGCGTGCTCTTAGGCTTTGATCATCAAGTAGACGCTCGCGTGCGACATCAATGGCAACATCGTTAGGAACATTAGTGAAAAGGGAAACTACATCAAAAGAAAACATGCCTTCATTCGGAAGGAGGGTCTGGGCGCGGACTAACTGAACGAATTTTTGGGAGTTCTGCACACAAAGACCATTTTTCCCTGTCACCGGCGCCAGTAGCTCTACCAAATATTTTGACAGGTCGTACGTGGGGCTACCGATAAAGGATACAATCGGGCGGAGAGGACATTCTGGTTTGTGCACTTTAGGTAGGCCGTACATTTTAGGTGTGCATCCGTCGGAGGAAAAAAGGCGGCGGTACAGAGAATCATTTATCCTACCCTTCTTTCGAAGTTCCCAGAGATGATCAACTAACGAACGTTCAGTTTTCCCAGTTGGGTCGCGAGCTAGTTTGACAAAGTGTGCGGGATTACTAAGAACGTTATACATTTTCTGGTCGTAATCGGTCTTGTCGAGAATCACCGTTCCCCCACCCTTATCAGCACGTACAATGACGATCGACTCATCAGCTCTCAACTCCTGCAACGCCTTGCGTTCATGCTGGTCCAGGTTTGGCTGCGGCGACTTGGCATTGTTCAAAATGGACAACACTCGACTTTGGGCAAGGTTGACGCCAGTCTCGCTAGATATGTGGCAGAGTTTCTCCTCGATTTCGACAATGAAGTCACGCTTGGGGACGTATCGAGGTGCCATTGCAAAGTTGAGACCTTTTGAAAGAAGACTCACGTGGTGGTCCGTCAATTCCTTGGAAGAGTAGTTGAACACAGTCCTTTTCTCGTTCTGGGAAGTTGGTTCCGGGGGCATTAACCGTGCGAGCTTCTTGTTGTGCAGTTCTGACTGTTTGTTCTTTTCCATGTCCTCGGCCTGTTTTCGTGCGACGAAAATTTTACCGCCGATATGTGGATGACACTTTCGTCATTTTAGATAAAAGTCATGCTAATGATTTCCACCGGGAGCTAAACAGTGTTCACCCCGCGATACACTTTTCTTGCGAGGCAGAACAGCAGGGCAAATTGCCCTTCCTAGATGTATCTGTAATAAGGACAGGCGAGCCGAACCACAGGATTGAAACGGGGGTGTACCGCAAACCATGTGAAACAGATAATTTTTTGGATTTTTTGTCCCATCACCCGGTGCAACACAAGAAATCAGTAGTGCGATCGTTTGTACAGAGATCAAATACCGTGTCATCTAACGAGCTCCATGGCGCAAATGAGATGACTCATTTACAGAGAGCTTTGGTGAAACGTCACTACCCGAGGCGTTTTGTTGACGAGGTCAAAAACAAAATGAAACAAAATGTGGAACCGTGCGAAAGGGAAAGAGATAAGAACGTAGTGTGCATCCCCTATGTCAAAGGAGTCTCCGAACCTCTTAGTCGCGCTTTGAGGCCCCTTGGCATCCGAACTGTTTTCAAGCCATACAGAACTATTGGAAATTCCGTTTCCAAACCAAAGGACCCAACCCCGGCGAACGTCCAAAGAGGCGTTATCTACAAGATCCCCTGCAGTGACTGCCCAGCGTCCTACATTGGTGAAACCGGACGGAGGAGAGATACCAGACTCAAAGAACACAAGCGTGACGTCACGTACGCATCCCACGCGATGCGACTGAAGACTGAACTGGTGGACCATGCGTGGACAATGGGGCATTCTTTCGACTTTCCGGCCGCGACGACCTTGGCGAGAGAGGACAGATGGGGGCCCCGAAAGCTTCTAGAATCGTGGTTTCTTCGCAGGGACACATCCGTGTGCAACAAAAACCGCGGCCCTCTCCACGAAGCTTACTTGGACATTCGTGATAAATAGCGTTGAGTTTAGGTTGAACCCTGCATTTGCTGTGTAACTACTGATGATGCCTCCCGCATGGGAGGCGAAACGTCTAATGAAGTTGTTTTTTCTGTTATGTCAAGTCGGTGTTCTTGTTTTAATTATGACGTCTCCCGGCTTTTGGAGTATTTTTGCATTTCTGCAGTTAAAAAAAAACTACTAATTTTTTTTCAGAAACACCCTGTATATGTAAAGAACAATGATGTTATAAATTGACATTGCTAAAGATTCTACAGGAGAACTGGTCACTTTCTAAGGAATCATCTAACTGTTTTTGATTCCAGGTACTCGGCTACTACATTTTCCAGACTACCATATTTACTCGCATAATGAACACACTTTATTCCCCGAAAATTTACACGTCTTTGAGGGGTGCATTCATTACGCGGGGTAAAAGCTTTGCCTTTAGACACTTCGTGCAAATGTCATATTAGGTGCCAATATGACACGGCAAGGTACTGTGGCACGTCTCCAGTGATGGAGGCACACCCATGGCTGGTCGGGGGTGCGCCACAATAACCATGCTTTATAAATTGAGAACCTTTTAAGGGGGGACATGGGTCTTTGGAGCTAGAAACGTCCTACGACTGCATGCTTTTGAAAATAGCGACGGCTGTTGTTGGGTTCTGAATTTACCAGGCTTCTAATTTTGCAGATCAATATTTGGGCTATAAATAAATTAATAATGTCTATGCGGGCTGAATGTGCGTTGAAGTTGACTCTAAACAATTGTTTTCACATGACACAATTTTTGGACTCGTGGAAAATTTGTAGGATGGATATCTCAGCATCCGGAGCAGATAGAAATATAACCTTTTCTGAAATGTGTAGCTAAAAGTGTGAAGCATACAATGTTGAGAGCAGATTTTCTAATATAAGTCTAGAAAATTTTCTATTTAATCTTTTGTTCTATTACTTGTTAGCCATGCATTGAGCAATGAACTTCAATTTATGGTAAAATCACTAATAGGTTTATCTTAAAAGTGCTTCCAATATTGTATGCTCTACACTTTGTAGTATCTAGCCATGTGTTAAAAAGGATATTTTGTTGAGCGGTTTTTTTTTCTATCGTTCCTCCAAACAAAGGCAGGCAAGTTTTAATTACATTGAGGACAATTCTACTGACTGAGAAAACAACCAGATATATGAAATCAGCACAAAAAGTTGAATTGGTTTGTGCAGTTTCAGTTTGGTCATAGAATAAAAAAAAAAAAAAAAAAAAAAAAGCTCCAAGACCAGTGGTCCCCCTCAAGGGCGCTTTTGGCGTGCCCTTTGCCAAAGGAAAAGTGCCTTACGAAGCTCACTCAGCACGGAGAGCAACGCAACCGGTCTCGGGCCTAACCACTTTTATGATTTCACTGTCCAAAAGCGGACCACAGACGACAATGTGTTTGTTGACATCAATGCATCTGATAGGCGAAGAATGTCTGGGGCTGGGCAATTCCTCGACCCAGGCTTCGTCAAGTGTGCGCGCTGCTCGGTTTCACGGTCGATCACTTCCGCAACTACGCACTTGCAGCCATTACGAGAGCGGCTTGATTTGGCTTGACTTGGCCTGACCGCTTGGCGGCAAAAGAAAATTGGCTTGGTGGACTGGGTGGGTAGCTAAGTTGGACGCATATCAAGACTTGTAAAGCCAAAAATTAAAGGTGCATTGATTACAAGAGAAAAAAAAAAAAAAAAGTCCAAATATTGGTACCTGTTGTAAGGGGTGCTTTCACTATGCGAGTGCATTCATTATGCGAGTAAATAGGGCATAGCCTGCACCCGGTGTGTAATCCGCAAAAACCAATTTCGGCTGAAAAAAAAAAGTTTTTTCTTAGATAGTTTGCACCCAGTGCATAGTTCACACATACAATCCTTGTACAGAGCACACCCTGAAAATGCTTTGCCTTATTAGCACACAAAAAAACTTCACCCCTACAAGAACTAGCATTACCGTAACCTGTCACTCACAAAGTTCATAATAAACAAGCTTAAAAAATAATGTCTCGTCCAGTCCGGAACCACAGATTGTCTGCACCACATAAAATTTATCTTTTTTAACTTGTGTTTTATGGACTATAGTCCGTAAAACAACGTTAACATAACCAAGTCATTCGATTGAAAATAGTTGCTCCAATAACATTTATGAGCTAGCTATGAATGTTTTGTTAACTTTGGGTCACACCGCCAATGGGAATGGCCGCCTCCGAGGCGAGGTGTCAGCCTACGGATCTCCAGGTTGGGGGTTCGAATCCCAGTCAAGGTACCCGCAATCTGACAAGAGCCACGTAACCGAGACTTCGGCTGCACGTCAAGATTCCCAGGTGGTTGAAATGAATTCTCAATCCTTCGATGGGACGTGCCAGATACCCTTCGTTGATTTGGCGGTTTGACACGTAAAATCCCTCATGTTTAATTTTGTCGGTTAACAGGAATTGAAAAAAGGTCCCAAGCTGGGCAAGCAGTATTCCCGACCTGTTGTTGCGCAGGTGCGGTGCCTGGAGTTTGTGAAGCAAAGAGCAGCCAGGCCCAAAGGAAGGCCGTACTCGGAACTGGCGTGCAGGCTGCAGATTCCGTCTCCAGTCTGACCGTCCCACACTGCGCCGTGGGACTGTTCCTTAGAAACCGTCGTTGAAAGTCTTGTCACCGTACAACATGTTTTGCTTACAAAAAAAAATAATAATAATAAAGGCAACCCCTTTCTTTTTGTTGTCTTTTGGAGAATTTTCATACTTAAAACAGTTCATGGTTACGAAGAGTAAACAGCGCCGAGAAAACGAAGGACAAGAGGACAGGATGCAGAGACGGAGTACTGTTCACTTTTCTCTTTGTCCTCTTATCCGTCATTATGTCGGCACTGTTCACTCTTTGTAACCGTGTTCAATCAACTTGCCCGAATTCCCGCCACACCAGAGTTTCTTTGATCAAAGGGGAGTGTCATCCTATGGGTGGTGAGAGTGCGGACTTCTTTCCTGCTTTTAAAGGCCCCCTTGAACCTTGCCCTCTCATTTCGGAAGAGGGAAAAGATTTTCCGACTTGCAGAGGATCTCGTTTTAAGTTAAGGTGCACGAGTAGCTTGTCTGTCCGAGTTTACACATACCGAGTCTTTTTTATACATTCTAAAGTGATCATGTTTTTATGTCTGTTTCATTTAATATGACTTTTTGGCATAAGTGGATTACGGGTATGGTACACATCATCCATGGACTTCGTAATAAACGCAGTGCGCATGCAAGGTCAGACGAACTGGAGGAGCAATATTGTAGTGCTTAAATATAGGCGAGTGCTCATCTTTACAAAGGCCCAAGACTGAGCCTCGGGTTTATGTAAAGTTTCTAAACGCACCTTGCTGCAGGTCACAGCTCAGTTACGATTTTGTGGTGGATATGCTTCATTAAGATATTAGGGAATCAACTTACATAGGAGTAACAAAGAAATTGCCTTCCTTTCTTTTTCAACATAATCAAATTAATAAAGTAATTGATCAATCACCTTATGACTAGACCCTGCACACATGGTCTTAATTTTTTGTTCGCACTCAAATCGTGTAGAAAATTTGCTCACACTTACGTTTACACACATCTCTATAGGCTTGTTCTCAAACTTGCGACAGCTTGCAACCGAGTGCCTTAAAACCTCTCGTGAGGCTTTAAGCCTGACGTCCATTGATGTAGTAGTAGTAGTAGTAGTAGTTGTTGATGTTGTCCCTAATGCAATCCTTAAAAAAGATTGCCCGCCGCCCGTGGGAATCGAACCGGGCTCCGCTGTGTACGAAGTGGTGGCGTTGCCACAGAACTACGCCACAGCTTTTTTTTTTCTTTATTGATGAGCTACGCCACAGCGTTAACGAGCCCCTTTAAACTTGGGGATGTTGTAGTACTCGATGCCCACTGCACATGCTCTCTGGGAACAAAAAATAGCCAATAAAAAGGTAAAAAACACAGGTGAGCTGGTGAATGGTATCCATAATAAACTGATGAAGGAAAAATAAAAAAACGGACAGTACAACGAAGTCTTTACTTCTCTACTTAATAGACACTTCGTTGTACTGTCCGTTTTTTTCTTTTTCCTTCGTCTCAGGTTTATTATGGAAGCCAATAAAAAGATGCCGTTGTAGCATTGTCAATGCCAAGAGCTCGTGCCGGGAGATGCACTTGACGCGCTTCAGGACAAGAAAAGAAACAAAAATGTTCGGAACAAAGCACAAAAACGACTTCATCTCTGGAAGGGTTGAGTTATCTGGCAGCGTCGATCGGCACGGGTAGGGTGGGGCATCTTTTGAGATATAAGCTGCCAAGGCTATGTGCTCGCACTTGTAGATTTTGCAGCAGTACAACATACTCGAGTGAAACGGAGTATAGGTATAGCTGTGCATATTTGTAGGCTTAATTTTATGTCAAATGCATTGTTTACTTACCATTCTAATGTAGGAAATGCATGTTCTAGCACGCTTACGTAGCCGAGTCGGCAGCACGTTTGGCTCACACGCAGGTGGCCCAGGTTCAATTCCCGCCGCTGCGTGTTGTTTATCTTTTTTTATGAAAGTAAAAGATTCAAAAACGGAAAACCGTGGAGCCTATTCAATGTTCAGAACGTATAGTTTGAGAACGGTCGAGGCACTGAAACTGAATTTGTTCATGAGTGACGTGACACAAAGTCATGTGACGTCATTTTTCCTGCTAAATTTAGCGGGGAAACTGAATTGGTTTTGAGGTCACGTGACATCAATTTTCCCGCTAAATTTAGCGGGGAAACTGGGAGGAAGGGAGGGTACGAAGGAGGAGGAGGAGGAGCATACACACCCCCTCGTACCCTCCCCCCTCCTCGTCAAGAGCTGCTCTCCAATTTCACATTACAGAGATTTGTAAACATTTTTTTAGTTTTTATTTTTTTGGCACAAGTTTATTAAATTAGACGCTTAGTTTCTGTTTGTTCGTGACCCCATCATCTGTCATTCGTGAGAATATAAATATAGCTAGATTAAAATTTATTTATCCTAGGCATGGACAAGGAAGCTTGGGAACAACCTTTACGAGTTCAGATGGGTTTTCGTTTAGTATGGTGCAGTAATGAAAAGCTTGAAAAAAACACTATTTGCTTTAAATTCTCTTTGAACTCGTATCCACTATTTGCACATCACTATAATAAGTACATACGTAATCTGATTTCCAAAGTCCAAACTATAGACTCGAGTCTAAACAAAGCTCGAAAGAATTAATGCCCCTCTATTTTGCATCATACTCTGAAAACAAACAAAAGAAGATGAAAACCATGGCTCATCCAGGCTGAGCTAGAAGTGAAAGAAGTAAAAGTAAACAAAATTCGCAGTAAGGGGGGGGCACAGCAAAATTGTGTCAAAGTACTAGGGAGGCCAACCGGTCCCGTCGGCGGCATGATGCAGCCAGCAAAAGAGCAGCGGTTGCAGCACTGCTGACCTTGGGCGTCTTCTTGGCGGTCTCAGAGCCACGGGCAGTGCGCTACAGGTGCCAGTACCTGAAGACGCACAACAGGAGCGGCATCGTCTGCATGCCGGTCGACGGCCCGGCTTCGCTTGAGGGCCCCAAGCCGAAGACGTTCACGGCGCCCGAGGCCTTCAACGGCAACTTCATCCGGCACAGTAGGTGGCCCGGGCATCGGCGCTCCATTCTCAAGCTTTCTTACGGGCGCCGCCATTTTGTCGGTTAGTGCGAGTGTCGCGTCAGCGTTCGACAAAGACTCAGATCCAATCGCATGCTTGGTGCCCAAGAAGTTGCGGCCGCCAGTGTTGCTCGATGGGGTTTTCGAAAAGGGTCTATATTGGCAATGGTTATGATTAGAACCACTAGATAAGCTAAGCTTCAGAGTAACTACACTTCAGCCATCGTGATGCTTAAATTCGCTGTTGCCAGGCATCTCGAGCCTTGTTCGAATTCGCACAGGTTTTCTGCCCTCCAGAAATGTCGAACCAGTACGCTACAAAGCAAAACAATATTGCCTGGGCTTCTGATGCCGAATTCAACCCTCAAGAAATTACATTTTCGATTCTCGATGATCGCCAATAGGTGGTATTCACTGGTGGCCGTACTTGTGTCCGCTGTCGCAGAGCGCGAGCTCAGAGTGAGCTTCCACAATGCTTTTGGAACGTGCACTTCACACCACCAAGATTGTGAGTCTTCTCGGAAGATAAGTGGGGTATGGTTTTGAGCATGCGCTGTGAACGCTGCGCTCAAGTATGGCACCCAGTGAATGGCACTTATGGACATCTTGCAAAATTGAAGCGATCCTAGCGGCACAGTGCCGCACATAACATCTTGAGAACCCAATGGTCACAGTGTCGGTTTCGATGTGCCTACCTCAATTCACGACACCCCATCATGAACAAATACGGTGCATGCATTTTCAAATATGTGACTTTCCTTAAATTTATAATACCGTAGGTGTTACCTGCAAATACAAATAGAATGCTGGGGCACATTTCTTGGGGTCTCCCAAGGTACCAGGTTTGTGCACGGGTGAACAAAGGAAGAAGACATGTACTGGGCCATCAGCCTGTTTCATCGTCTCAGTGTCCTAGGCTCCTTAAATTATTTGTGACCTGGGTTGTAGCCAGGCTGCCAGAAAGGTGTGGGACGTAGCCAGCCATACTTCTACTCCTCGCTAAGTCTAGGCGGGCCCTTACCGCTGGAGGTTCGTCTTTCAACGGGTGCTCCCACGAAAACGAACGAGTGCAGTAAGCAAGCGCCGACTTTATTTTTATGCAGTGCTAAGAAGCACCACTCAGTCAATGTAGCGATCGAAATTGAAACCATGCCACTCTTTTCCATGGCTAGGGTGTAGTACACCCTACCATGACCAAAGAGGCCCCATAATGCAATGCGTGCAGCACTGCATGCAGGGATTTTTTTTAAAGTAGTGTATGCGGAGTGGAGCCCAAGTTCGTCTGCTTCTTTTGTCGGGCTGTAATGACGTCAGAACACCGAGCTCTGACTGGTCCTGAATGAAGGATAGTGGGTAGACCTCGAGGCAGCTTGCTTTGACGTCTGCCCACTATTCTTCAATCAGAACCAATCGGAGCTCAGCGTCTTTCTGATGTCACCGCAACTCCTGAGCAAGAGGCAGACGACTTGCTTTCCGCATTGTGCCCACTCTGCTCTAAGCACCAAAATGGCGTCATCCACAAGAAAAGGGGGATTGGAGTGCCAATATTTTGAGCGTGGCGGCTCTAGTTGCAATCAGAAAATGAGACCTCCCGAGCCTTAGGTACAGTCTTTGAAAGCTCGGGCAAACTCGTTTTGCTTCGTCATAAACTGTTCCAACGTTTTGGACGACAAAAAATCATTGCCAGAAATTTGAATTAAACTGGTTAACTGGCAATAATGAATTTGGGCAACGAGTCTAAAGTGTCATTACGCCGAGGCATAGCTGAAGCTTATCTAGTGGCGATAGGTTAGTCCCAGCACTGCACATAGTGCCCGGAGGTAGCGGGTTTTCTTTTCGGCGGTGTGAAGTCTAAAGTGACATTGAGTTGCGTTGTATTTCAACTTGTGGAGTATTGCCGTGTTTGTAATTGGGCGAACTGGTTCACGTTATGGGAAAATTAAAAGCACGCAAAGAGACAGGGACAAGCAGAAGAAACACACAGATACAGTGCTTATTGACATTCCTTTTGGTTTACTGTAAAATATAAATATATAAAACAAACCGAAAATGCATTGTCCCACAAGAA